CACACAAGACCACATCTGTATACGCACAGAGACATGCACTCTCTCGTATACCACTGTGGCACACAAGACCACATCTGTATATGCACAGAGACATACACTCTTCTCATACACACAATCAATCAGTTAATAAATGTTAAAACTTTTACAAAAGCATTCCTAAAGACTAATTTCAAATGCTCAATTGTGCCCCTTTTATTTTATCTATTTATTTGTGTGGGGGGAGGTATCGCAAGCCATGCAAGGTATACTTGTTGAGCCAGAGGTCACCTTGTGTGAGTCAGTTCTCTCTAGTGTGTGGGTTCCGAGGATCCAACTCAGTTCACCAGTCTTGGCCCAAGAGATACTTACCTGCTGGTAAATGTAAAATAGTCGTTTCGTTGTCTCCCCATGTTTCCTTTTTGTTTAAGTATCAGAGCTACAGAAAAATTGCACAATTAGCAAATACAAAGTCTACCCATGTACCTCTTACCTAGATTTAAGTATTTGAGCAGTTTTCTGCATTTGGTTTTTTTTTTTTCTGTCTCCTCTTGAAATATCAATGGGTACACATCCAGACAGCATAGACACATACTCAGGTGTAGATTTTTAGCCTTGTGAGAGTAAACTGTAATCATTAAAACATGTTATCTAAAATATTTCAGCATATACCACATAAGAAAAAAAAACACTCTTTGGTATACCCATCCACAAGTATCACAGTCAGGAAATTTAGGATTGATAAATATGTCCAAAAATATTGGCATATTAAAGTTTCAACAATATTTTAAAGCTTTTTTTATCCTGTCAAAAAAAATGTGTCACTCACACTACTACAGTCTGTCATATATTTATAATCTCTCTTAACCTGAAATAATATTCCTGTTCTCTTTTTCTTGACATAGACTTTTCTAAAAAACCATACAAAGTATTGTTTTATAGATCATCTCTAAATTCTGACTTGCATAATGGCTTTTCCTTTATTACAGTATGTTGGGTAGACTCAGGTTCATGAGGCATGAACACTTTTATATGATCTGCTAGATAGAGTTTAGAATGAAGTCAGTGCAAAGCCATCCAGATATTTTAAGCAATGCTGGAGAGAGATGATTCCGGGGTTAAGAGCTCTTGTTGCTCTTGCACAGGACTTGGGTTCAGTTCCCAGCATCCACATCAGAGGCTCACAACCCTTTGTACTGTCAGCTCTAGAGGATCCAATGCCTCTGGCCTCTACAGGAATTAGGCATACATGTGGTATGTATACATACGCGTGCGCACGCGCGTACACACACACACACACACACACACACACACACACACACATATATAAATCTTTAAAAACCACTAAGAAGCAGGTAGCATAATAATATCTTTAAGAATGTCCATTCTGGGATGGAGAGATGGCTCAGAGGTTAAGAGCACTGACTGTTCTTCCAGAGGGCATGAGTTCAATTCTCAGCAGCCACATGGTGGCTCACAACCATCTGTAATGAGATCTTGTGCCCTCTTCTGTCATGCAGCCATACAGGCAGGCAGAACAGTGTGTACATAATAAACAAATAAATCTTAAAAAAAAATGTCCATTCTGAAAATGGTGTGGAAATCTGATGAGATGGCAGTACACAGAGAACTGTAACATTGTAGGTGAGAGAAGGAAAAAAAACTGCCCGGTGGAGGTATAGGCAGATATGGGATTAATAGTTTTGTGGTTTACATAATTGTGTGGATGGCTGGTTTAGAGATAAAAGATAGTGTCTACTTAGGATATCTATTGCTGTGAAGAGACACCATGGCCATGGCAATTCTTATAAAGGAAAGACATTTAATTGGGGTGACTTACATTTTCCGAGGCTTAGTTCATTATTATGGTACAACATGGCAGTGAGCAGGCAGACATGGTGCTGGAGAAAGAGCTGAGAGTCCTACATCCTGAGCTGAAGACAACAGGAAATGAACTGAAACACTGGGAATAACATGAGCATAGGAGACCTTAAAGCCCGCCCCCACAGTGACACACTTCCTCCAACAAGGCCACACCTCCTAATAATGCCACTCCCTATGAGCTTCTGGGGGCTAATTCCATTCAAACTACATCAGATAGGGACCAGTTTGGAAAGGAGAATGAAATCATGAGGTTGGAATGTAGAAACGAATCTATGTAAAGGTTAAAATCCATACAAGTTAACTGTAACAAAACTGGTCTTTTTAAAAGGACTCAAGAAGCTAAAAGCAGGGATCTGGCACCCTACCCCATGCTGTCCCCAGGGGACACTACTTACCCCATCAGAAGTATAGAAAGCTATTTTGACAAACATTCTAAGATTCTAGGCTGTGTAACATTGGGAAGTCACTAACTCTCCAGGCCCGTTTTCTCATCTCTAAGTCATGGGTAATGACACCTGCTATACTTCCTTTATAAAGTTGGAGAATCAAGGAATTTAATGCACAGAAAAGCTTTCTCTACATAGACTATATGCTGCTATACATATGTAATTTGTTTGTGGTTTGGGAAACTATGATTTAAGTCTATCTCTTGAGCCTTTGGAACTGGAACTGAACATAATATTCATCATCAATTCCCGCCATTTCTTGAGAGCTGCCTGAAACTTGGTCAGCAGTCTTACCATGTTGCAGGACATGGCTGTTACCTAAGAAACCACATATGTGCTCCTCAGATAAAACTCTCTGCCCTTCATTCCTGCAGTACCCTTCCTTTCGGAGCCTTCCAGGCCCCGAGGTCCTTATCTGTGCTGAGCTGGTATGAGGTAGACCTTTATCAGATAGAAGGGGTAAACCCTGGCATGGTTTACTGCCAGAGCAGAATCATACTAACATGCTGATTCCTTTCTCCCCTTCTTCTCAACTCTCACCTTGGCTCTTTGTCTGTCTGACCACTTACAGAGCTCTGAATCAGCACCCAACAATCAACGACGAACTGCCAAACCGCATCATCTCTGGCTTGGTGAAGGTGAAAGGGAACGTGAAGGAATTCACGGAGACAGCTGCCATTTTTGAGGATGGCTCCCGGGAGGACGACATCGATGCCGTCATCTTTGCCACGGGCTACACTTTTGCCTTTCCTTTTCTTGAAGATTCTGTCAGAGTTGTCAAAAACAAGGTGTCCTTGTATAAAAAAGTCTTCCCGCCTAACCTGGAAAAGCCAACTCTTGCGATCATCGGATTAATTCAGCCCTTGGGAGCCATTATGCCCGTTTCAGAGCTCCAAGGACGCTGGGCCACTCAAGTGTTCAAAGGTGAGTGATGATATACATTGACAGCTAGGTGAACTGTTTGAGCTCTGTTTATGCAAGTGCTTTTAAACCTATAGGGCAACGGTGCCAGAAAATTTATTTTCAATGAATCTAAAGTAGTAACGTGTAACCATAGACACACATCAAAAAACACATCAGTAAGTTTTCTTAAATAGGCATGCATTTTAATCCCATTGCTGGAAGTGCTCAATTCAGAGGTGGGTTTTGATGGAGGAAGGTCATTGGTTAAAAAATAAAGAAACTGCTTGGCTGGCCCTCATAGGTTAAAACATAGGTGGGAGGAGTAAACAGAACAGAATGCTGGGAGAAAAAGGAAGTGAGCTCAGACTCGACAGCTCTGCTCTCTGGAGCAGAGACGCCAGGCTCCTCTCTCCCAGGCAGCTCCGACCCAGGATGGACGTAGGCTAGAATCTTCCCAGTAAGTGCAACTAGCAGTGCTACATAGATGATTAGAAATGGGCTAAATTAATATGTGAGAATTAGCCTAGAAGAGGCTAGATAGAAATGGACCAAGCAGTGTTTAAAAGAATACAGTTTGTGTGTTGTTATTTTGGGGCATAAACTAGCCAGGCGGCCAGGGTGCTGGGGACGCAGCCCCACCGCTCCTATTACAACAGGGTTTGGCTTAAGAGCTTTGAGAAAAAGGTTCTCCAGGTAACTCCAGTGTACAATGCGGACTAGACTCTACTCATCTAGATGGTAAGCAGCTGCTATGTATTTGTGGCAGTAAATGAGTCTTTCATTAGAAATAAAGTCTAATATAGACTATCATGACCTAATTTCAGACATAGATTAAGAGATGCTTAGATTCATCTAGAATGTGGAATATTTAATTTCTCAAATCCCCAATTTCCCTCCTCTTATGCCCCTCTTTCAGCTTCAGCTATGTGTAAAAACCCCTTAGAGTTTAGGATGTAGACTCGGTATGAGTCAGCAGTGTGACGAACCTTCTTGAAGACCCCTTAAATTCAGCATCATTACGGAGTCAGAATTTCTGAGAATAATATAATTGTCCTTTTCTAAGATAATTAGGACACAAACCTGATGATAAACTTGTGGGGAAAACATGTAAGATTGCAATGAAGAGGGGAAGAGATAGCAATGACTTAAGTTGGGGGGTACTGGAGAGATGGTTATAATAGTATAATTTATTACTATCACTGTTTAGTTTAAAATAGAATTTTTGTTGGAATTACAGCTTTCTCTCCCTACTGAAAAATTCTCATGGCAGATGGTTAATAAAAAAAATCCAATTTCTATCATTTCTTAATTTCTTCTAGTTCTATACAGCGGGTCATATACTGTTAACACTGAACCAGCAACATTTAAATAGGATTTTTACAATTATGTTTAAACATGGGAATGCTCTAAAAATAGAGATGATGAATCAAGAAAGCCCTGCATCAGACTTTTCTCCATATCTTTGTCTTAAGTATCTATGGGATTTAAAAAAAAAAAAAAAAACTGGCTGTCTCTCAGCCAAGAAATAAACCTCTCCCTCCATAATGTGTTTAGTTACTAAAAGTAAAACTTTTGGCTTGATCAAGAGAAGCAACTTGGAAATGAACTCTGCATGTTCTTGAACATCCCGAGGGCCTGTGATGGAAGCATGAAGTGTTACAGTGTATCTTTGTGGATCTGTAAGGGATAATTCCCGTGGCTCACATGAGGCGGCCAATGGGAGACACGGAAAGTTCTGTCTGAATACTCAGTATCTGTGTCCTATGTTTAGAGAGGACTACAGGAGAGTTACTGGGTGTGCTCAGAAAAGGGAAGTCATGCAGGTGGCACAGCATATGAGATCTGTTGTATAAGGATTTGGGGTTAGTCTGATAGCCAAGTGACTTAAAGGGGTTCTTGTTTCCTGTTTCAAGACGCTGCCAGTGCTAAAACTCAACCCTCACTCCAGAAGAAGAGTTAGACCCAGTGCTTCCAGTTACATAGAAGTAGATTTGAGGATTCATACAAAGAACGTTCCAGAGATGGAGCAGCCAAACAATTATGCCATGTCCTTGAATTATACAAGGTCCATGACCAGGAACGTTCAAGGAGACATGAGGTAGCTGCTTGATACTAGTACTATAGAGAAGAGGATTGTAATAGGCAAAATCAGTTTCTATCCTGAAACTATATGTTTCAGAATTTTAAGGAGCAGTGCCTCGTGCCCATTTACCTGTGAAGAAGGTTGGCTGAGCTGTAGTTATTTTGGCTTAAATACTAATTGGACTCTGTCTAGTTGGTCTCATTGGTGTCAAATTCCTACTCTTGGAACAGTTTGCACGTCAGGGCTTAAACTTACTTGTGAAGTTTGAGGATTATGAGTTTCCTGTGACCTTACCCTCAACTCTTATCAAATAACAGAATGAAGGTGGTGAGGGTTACCTTCCATGAGGCTTTAGCATAAAATAGCATGCTGAGTCTTTTACTTCCTTCTTCCTCTGAAACATAAAACCTCTTTGTTATCAAGAGACCAGTGCAGAACTGCATCCCACTCCCATGAACTTCAGTGTTGTGACTCTTCTAGGCTTGTAAGACGATTATTATTTCCTCATATTTATATTTTATCTCCTTACTGAAAGACCACATTAAAGGATCGGTTGGAAGTCAGAGAAAAGTAAATAATTTCCAAGGGAATACAGAGTTGTGGGGCCCAGTGATACAGCTACAAAAGAACTTCCATAGCGAAAACTCAGGGAACATTTGGGAAATGGGTTGGATAGATTGTAATAGCCAGAGGATCAGGGCGTTTTCTGTGAGACAGTGTCTCCTGGTAATGCCAGAAGCTATGTCCATAAAGACTCACCAGCATGATTGACTAGACATGAACTGAACAAGTAAAACAAGAGACATGCCTATGTGGGTGGGGAAAAGACCACAAGACCTCGGCCCTATACAAAGAGCTATAGGCAACTAAGAAATGCTGAGAGCAGGATATACAATCTTTTTCAGCAAAGAGCACACCAATTGGTTATGCAATATCAAATGGTCAACCGTGAAAACGTATACATACAAGTAACATGATACAGACTGAATAGGTTATATTTGGGAATATATGAATATACATATGTGCATGTAATAATGCATGAAAAAAAGAGGTCATACATTGTGAAAGAGGTGTATGAGAGGGGTATATGAGAGGGTTTGAAGGGAGGGGGAAATGCAATTGTATTATAATCTCAAAAATATAAGAAATAATTAAAAAATATATTGCAAGACCAGGGCATAATAGAATAAGTGATACACAAAAGTATACAGAGAATGCAAGGGTTCTTATGAAAGGGGGTCCGAAATGCTGAGGACCAGAGTATTCCAGGATTCAGATTCATGTAATGGATTATCTCTGGACTAAGACCGAAATCTAAACATGGAATTAATTAACCTTTTCCTATATACCTTTACACACAACCGTTTTATAAGACTTAATACACCGGTGCCTGCCTTTAATGTGGCATCACTTGTCCATTGTGGATTTTTTTTTTTTTTACTTATGGCATCTTCTTCAATATTGAAGAGAAGTTTGGATTTGGGAGCATTTCCAATTTCTGATTTTCAGATTTAAGATGCTCAACTTTTACCATGGTAGTGGTAGGACTGAATACATTTTATAATGTCTTCTTAGACCCTGTAATTCTTTTAATTATCCACAGTGTGGTATTGTTATTAGCATTATTCCTCATTCAGAAGTAATTAACACTTCTATTTTTAATTTTTTTTTCTTTAGGGCTAAAGCAATTGCCCTCACAAAGGGAAATGCTAGAAGACATAAACAAGAGTCGAGAGGAAATGGAGAAAAAGTAAGAAATTCTCCCAGGCAGACATTTGAATACTTTCTCTATGTATTTCTCAGTAAGAAGAATATTGTGCTATTCTTAGTCTCCATGTGTAGGCTTAAAGATTTCTATTATACTGTGGTATCAGAGGGAATTATAGCACCTGTGGTTTCCATGTGGACCAGGAAGGAGAGAGACGCTGATGGGACATGTTTAAAGCCTATGTTTAAGGTATAAAAGACGTTCAGTAGGGAAAAACATAGCATCAGGTATATTACTGATGAGGATGTTTCTCCCTCTTTACCGGCTTTGTTTTCTCCTGTTCGCCGCTGAAGTCCTGGGGTGGAGTTGCTGAGTCCTGGGCTCTCACCCTTTGCTCCTCCCCCAAGCCCCTGCACTATAACTCAGGGAACCCCTGAAGCTGCTCTCTTGGAGGCCTTCCACTGCTTACCTCTGGCTCCGCTCTGTCCTCTCACTACTGAGAGGACTGCTACTCCTTCTGGGAGTGTTTTCTCTCCCTTTTGTGGGGCACAAAACTAGTTTATTTCAACTTCCCCACGCTCATTCCTTCAGCTTCCTAATCTCTATAAAGACCTTCTGACTGTGTGCAATCCCCAGGGATGTCATTTAATTTACACCGAGGGTCAGCTTTGGGCCCATCTTTAGCATTTCATGTGCATGGAGATGCACCCCCTGTGACAACCCTGCAGGAGGCATTGGTGATTTCCTTCTCTTGAACATTTGTGAATGCTACAGCTCTTACCTCCAACTGTGGTGTAAGTGAATACATGCTGAGGAAGTCGGAGCCACTGGAACACCCAGGAAACGGAGTTCGCAAGTTCTTCCCTGTCTCCTCTCCTCCAAAATCCAGTCTCATCTCAGCAAGTCCTCTGTGAATTCATCTGAGAGCCCCTCTGCCATCTCTCACCAGCTCTACGCAAATTTACTTTGTATCATTTGTTTCTGTCCTTCATCTTGAATTCCTCAATCTTTGCTAGCTCAGCTCAGCTTTCCCCTGTTCCCTCTCTCTGTCTTACTGTTCTACGGCAGCCATCACAGAGCAAAAGGCTCGTTTTCCATTCGCTCTCCAGATCCGCTTTGTCCACACAGATGCCACTGTTTACTACGTTTCCCCCACTAAGAGCTCTTTAACCCTTGGCATCTGCTCTTGGTAAACCCTCCCATCTATCTCCAGAGGACCAGTTACTCTCCGAGGATGCCATCCTCTCTCAGCTTCTCGGAGAAGTCCTATTCTGTGCGCCCCACTGAGGATCCCATGCTCAAGGAACTTGGTGGCTTTCATGTCAAATAACATTGCATCCCCTGGCTCTGCCAGGCTTGCCTTTCCCACTGCTGCAGGCAATACCCAGATATTGTATGCTGTAGGAGGAGGCTGCTTCTTCGTCCTGGTCGCCCAGAACCAAAATAACCACACAGAATCTATATTATTTAAAACATTGCTTGGCCCATTGCTAAGTTCTTATTGGCTAACTTGTATATCTTAATTTAACCCATTTCTAGTAATTTGTGTATCACCACATGGCTGTGACTTACCAGCAAGATTCCAACCAGTGTCTGTCTCTGGCAGGGCTACATGGCTTCTCTCTGACTCTGCCCTTCTTTTTCCCAGCATTCAGTTTAGTTTTCCCTGCCTAGCTCTGTTCCCCTATAGCTCTGCTAATGGCCCAAAGCAGTTCCTTTATTAACCAATGGATTTAATCACAGCATACAGAGGGAAATCCCACATCAGTATGCCTATATTCTGTGCCTATTCCCTCCCCACATCTTCACTCTGCTGTTTGCCTCACTTACAATCCTTCCTTTGTTCTCTCTTTGACTTTATTCTTGTCAGCCCTAGCTCTCTTAACTACCTACATGCCCATTTTGCATCCAGCCTGAAGCCTAATACGCATCTGACCTCCTTGAGCCTAGTGTCTATGTTTAACACATAGAGTCTAGTCTTGTTTTCCACCGGCACAGCAGCTGCACCTGAATCTGCTGCTGCTTTAGCCAATAACTATAGCAGCTCTGCAGTTACTGGCTGGATTCTCAGGCAGCCAGGACTCTTCTATCCTGCTAGATCTGTCTCCTGCCGCTGCCACCAAATGTATTGTCTTATTTAGTGATAAAGGTATGCCGCCTGCACCACCTGGAACCGTGCTTGGGCAAGAGTCTGGGGAAGTAAGGAACACACAGAAACATGGGTCACTCTTGAAGCAAGAATGCCAATTTTTTTTATGTTCCCAGACAGCTTATATAGTGCTCTCCTTGACTAATGGCCACACCTTAGCTCTGGGGATTCTCTACTGCAAGCCCACCAGAAACCACTTTCATGTTTTCAAGAACTTGAGAGGGTTCTGTGCTCAGAGTAACAGCAAGCATAGAAAAACAAGTTGTTTACTACAGGAGGTGAGAGGTCATAGAAAGTTCAGGGTCAGGAGTCAGAGGCCAGGGTGGAAACCTGCTAGCTCAGAGAGATTGAGAAGCAACTAACTGACCTTCCCTCTTCACTTGTGTCTCGTCAAGAGTGTCTCTTCCATCACGCCAAACCAAAAAGGGCGACCACACTCAAAGTCCCTCCCTCCAACTTTCTGTGCATCTCTGTTCATTTTCTAGACTCCCTCTGACTATGACTGCTTTCTGTCAACTAACTACTAGCTCTGCCTCCTGACCCAAGGTTGATAGGTTTTTTTTTAATTAACTCAAACACAAATTTGGGGTTGATGGTGTAATCAGTTATTCCTGCAACAGTCTAGTGCACTCTAAGGTCCTTACGGGAGGGAACACCAGGCCTGCCTATTCCCACAGCTCTTAGCACACTATCAAGCCCACAAGTAGACACTTATAAAGCACCGATTGGCTGGTTAGTTGACTGGCACTTTGCCAGAACTGCTGATAGCCTGTCTGTCTTCTTTGCTTTAGGTATGTGGAGAGCCAGCGTCATACCATCCAGGGAGACTACATAGAAACCATGGAAGAGATTGCAGAGTTGTTGGGTGTTAGGCCCAACCTTCTGTCTCTGGCCTTCACTGACCCCAGGCTGGCACTGCAATTGCTACTGGGACCCTGTACTCCTGTCCACTATCGCCTACAGGGCCCTGGAAAATGGGCCGGAGCTCGGCAAACTATTCTTACGACCGAAGATCGTGTAAGAAAGCCTCTGATGACGAGAAGGGTTGAAAAGAGCGATTCTGGGGCTCCACTAATGACAGTACGTGTCTTCCTGCTAGCTGTTGCTTTCTTTGCTCTACTCCTGGCTTATTTTTAGATGTGGTAGTGTTAGTCTGGCTTTCTCTGGAAAGCCTTATCTAGCAACACCTTCAGAACCTGACAAGACTGAAGACTCAGCTTCCTTCTACTCAGAAATCACTCTCAACCTATTTTTCTCTCT